TCTGTCTATCTGTCTATCTATCATCATTATTATTCACATCTCCCCTTCTGCTTATGTCTTTTAAGCTGCTGTAATGTGTGAATTTTCTCAGTGAGGAATCAAAGTTTATCTTTATTGCCATCTATGTAAATTACACTTAGGAATTAGGAAAACTTGTCTTTCATTTGATATCTGTATTACACCAAGTAATTTAACAAAGGGTCACCGTATCTGTCTGTTATATTTTCTCATCTAGTTCTTGCTGCCTCTGTAATAATTGAATTTATACTAAATGTTGCAGTCGCTTTCTATCTGACTGTCTTCCTTTAGGAGAATTTGTAAAGGACCATATTGTTTACCTGGCTGTCAGTCTGCCTGCTGCTTTCAAGATGGGGGTTACTGATTGGTTAACGAATTTAATAGTTCATCTTGGCTCTCATTAGGTTTTAAAAAAGGAATGGAAAAATCTAGCACTCAATTTGAAACAGGTATTTTTTTTAATGATTTTATTTTTCGTTTCTATTGATTAGCTTTATTGTATATGTGACAACAAATTGTATAGTTAGGGTTGTTTTGTATTGGGCCTGTACAGTACTTGTTACTGGGCTGACTCAGCATCAAGTCATACCACTTGATGTAGGAACAGAAAAATCAAATAGTCAGATTTGCTGTTGTAATTCATCATGCCTCAGTTCCTATGCTTCTACTCTATTCACTTGTATTTCTTTCATTTCTTTGCAGGGTTGTGATCCTTTTGCCCAGACACAGCGCAGTAAACTGCAGCATCGACGAGCTCGCATCAACCAGCAGATCAACAAGGAGATGCGCATGAGAGCCGGAGCAGAGAACCTGTTCAGGTGAGCTGCTGGAATGGGTCAGGCCACTGTTTTTTCTGTACTGCTACAATTTACATTAATGCACCAACACTTTGTGAAGACAGAGTTAGGTGTGAAAAAAACTGATTTAGTTTTATTGTTGTATCATTGTTGAGGTGCTTTATTTTGGAACATGCTAAAAATAAGGTGCATCCCTACATTGCTCAACTGCAGTCAAGACACCGTCACCCGATTTAACTGAAGGAACTGATTTTGAAAAAAAAAAAATTTGACAATGGAGAAGAAACAAAGTCAAGGATTAAATGGTTAGGCTGTGTCTTTTGTAAAGTATTTGCCAGCGTTTTCCATTATTTCATATGTAATAAGGCAGACTCAGTGTTCATGGCATTCTTTTTAATTGTAAGTCACAAACTTACTTTTAAATCAGCTTTTCCTGTTTCAGATGTAGTAAGAAATGCTATTCAGGTTTCATATGTGTGGCAGCTCTTTGTTGACTTGTTGGCTCTGTCACATTTATGGTGTAGTCCAGTGATGGGAAAAGGTCAGAGATCACTCCCTTCCAAAAGACACACACACCAGCACCACCCAGTTTTATGGCTCTGTTTGTGTTCACTGTGCATGAACATGCATGTTTATGTGCCTGTCTGCTCAACCATATGCATTTTTAAAAAAAAATCTGCTCTTTCTTGTCTTTTTTAGAAATAGTTTTTCATACTCATACAAAACAGTAACACTGCATGCTTTGGCAGCATGAGCGGCAACAGGGCTATTCGCCCAACTGGTTCTGCGTCTTAAAGCAGCCAGCTGTCATTCAAACAGCATGCAAGAGTTATACAGGTGAATAAATTGGGAGAAGTAAAAAAAGAAATGGTGGCAGAACATCAAAGTACTCTCTCTGCAAACATTAGCATCATCTTTATCCAGCTTCTCTCTCCACCTCTGTCTCTCTTTCTACCCCCCTTTCTGTCTCCATGACTAATTCTCAGGCCTGTGCATGTTTATTATCTGCTTGTAGGTATATTAGCACAGATTTTGAAAGTATACATATAGAAACTTGTAAACTTGTGTGTGTGTGTGTGTGTGTGTGGATACACTTTTGTACTTTACAGCCTGAATAGCCCACAGTGCAAAACTCTCTGAAAATATAGTTGCAGAGGGACTTGCCGTCATTCCATAAAGACTAAACTTGTGAGTTGAAGTAGGAGCAAGACGAGCCACTTAATTAAATCAAATAGCTACTTTTTGCGTCCTTAGAGGTGCCTGATCTGAATATAATAAGATCAGCACAAAAGCAACAGTGTCTTTTATTTAAAACAATCTCACTGCTATTCTTGAACTTGTTTGGCTACAACTAGTTTCCCAGGGATAGATATATGAAAGATAGCAAGGTAACGAAATAGTTATTTTGATTCTTATTTATTATTAATTTATCATTTTATGCTGAAATGTATGTAAAAGCTTTTCTGTAAAAGGCCCCCCCCATACCTTTTCAGAATCCAAAATGGCCTGTTCAGATTGACACTTTAACTTGACTAGTGATCCAGAGTTAAAAATTATTTAGTTAAGCTGATATAGTGCAATCAACAGTATTCAGATCACTTCACCTTGTTCACATTATTTTATGTTACAGCCTTACGCCGAAATAATTGAAATAAATTTTTTTCCCACATCATTGTACAATTGATACCCCATAATGAAAAATTGAAAAAGAGATATTTTAGATTTTTTCTGCAAATATATTGAAAACTGAAATGTAGATCCTTTACTGTCACACCTAAAACTGAGCTCAGATACCTTCTTGATCATCTTTGAGATGTTTCACCACCCTCCTAAATTCAGTTGATCAGATGTGATTTGTAAGGCACACACCTGCCTATATAAGGTCTCACAGCTGATGAAGCATATCAGAGCAAAACCCAACCCTTGAAGTTGAAAGACCTGCCTATAGAGCTCAGAGACAGGAATGTGTCAAGGCACAGATCTGAGGAAGCTTGAAAAATGATTTAAGCTGCGCTCAAGGTTCCCAAGAACACAGTTGCCCCCGTAATTCTTAAACAAGAGAAGTTTTGAACAACTGCGACTATGCCTAGATTTGGCCACCTCCCCAAACTGAACATTTGGACTGGTAGGGCCTTAGTGAGAGAGGTGACCAAGAACCTTTGGCTCCAAAGATCCTTAGTGGAGATGGGAGAAATTCCCAGCTTTATGGCGGAGTGGTCACACACGCATGAACGCTAGCTTAGACCTTGCTGCAAAAGCACATAAAGGACTCTCAGATTGCTAGAAACAAGAGTCTTTGGTCTGATGAAATATCTGTGTGACATGTTGGGAGGAAACCAGGAACTGCTCAGGACCTTAGTTTCAGCTGAAACTAAACTGATTCATCAATAGAACCTTAATAGTATTGAAAAAAAGTTTATCATGGTATTTCAAGCAAAACAACCAACCATTATCATATTTTACTTCTTCTAAATGTAATGATTTACCAATTTTTTGTCTTATGTCATTGTAAATTGAATATCTTAGATTTAGACTGCTCATTTAACAAAACAGTCAACTGCATTGAATAATCAAGGTCTTCAGAAAACAGGAGTCTAAAAATAAAGAAGGAATTTCTGACATTTTGCATAGCAAGCCATTTAAGCAGCACATTCTCATATTTGGATAACTGGAATCAGTGAATATTTGGCATTTTTTGTTTGATGATTTAAACAATAATTGGGTATCAATTAATTTCCAATAATTTATTAAAGGTTTGGATTCTTATTTATTAGATTTTTGTCCTTTTTTATCCTTCTCCCTAATTTCATTTTGACCTGATTCAGGCTGTTATCCTAAAAGGTGACGACTCAGTTCAGGGGAAATAAAAAAACGCCCTCCTGCCACTTCTATTGGGACGCATGGTCACAGAGACAAAGAGGACCCCCACACAGCCTGCCGGCCTGTAATCAGCCGGCTTTGTGTCCACCTCCCGTCCTGTTCCCTTGCAGAGATTCCCAGTTGAGCTCTGACAAGCTCATCCCCCACTTATTTGTCTGGCACTGTCAGACCTTTTTTTTTTTTCTGCCCTCCCCCCTTTCCGGGCAACTGGAATAGTCCACACACAACAACCATCTAGCTTTCATAGCTTTCACTTGCTTTGAAACTGTTGTGGAACCGAGTCGTGGTGCGAATGCTGGTGTGTGGGAGGTGACGGGTGGGGGGCTGATGAAGACATATGTTGTGGGCTGCAGGATGTGTTTCTTTGTGGGAATTCAACTGAGGGACAGTATAAATTAATGCTAGTATTCATGTCAGTTGGTTCAGGTATTACAAAAATATTTGAAATGAGTGTTTCCAGCTTCTCTGATAACGTATGTCATGAATAAGAAAGAAGTGTTTTTCCCTCAAAAGTTGGAGTGTGTTGTGCGTGCAAGTGGGTGTGTGTGAAGGGGCTATTTGGCAGCCCATTTAAAGCTGACTAATCAGATTGCCCTTGGCTTGATCCTAGGTGTGTGTGTGTGTGTG